ACTGTTGTGAGGGCCTCCCGGTTCAGGTAGGGTCGCAACTGGCGCACCAGGCGAACCTGGGCAAATGCCCCCCTGGTCACAGCCGATAAATGATGAACATTGCAAAGTCTCTGGTGATCCAGGAATAGCCCTCTTGCCAGCCGCTAGGAAGCAGCCAGGGTGGTGAAACTGCTGACAGCTTCGGAAGTGAAAATGCAGGAGAGAGCGTGTCGTTCATGGTGAGATTTTTACCTTTTTTCTGATTTATGAGAACACCCTAAATGAAGAACTAATCTAAAATAAAGACTGATGAGAGAGAGCAAGCGGCGAATATAAGGCTACAGTCAAAGTGAAAGTTTTTACTTTTTTTCTCTCCTTTTTATTGTCGGACGCCTGACTGGACTTTCTATTCAGCATAGTGTTAAATGGAGCGGGCTTTTTTCTTTTCCGTTTTTCTTACTTTTTGGACTGTTTGATAACTAAGTTCTACTGTTCCACTGTTCAAGAATCTTTTTTATATACGACGGTTTAAAGTTCATTGCACTATTTTCTCATTTGGCTTTTTTACTCTTTTTTTTCTTTTCTCTTAATACGGCAGAGAACGCAACAGAGAGAGGGAAAGTTTTGGATAAGTAACACTGCCACCTAGAGGCTTTGAAACCTTGTCTCTATTTTTGGTCTGAATGAACGCTTGGAAAAGGTTGCTCTCCAAGGCAAACTGGCTCAGCCAGGATTGATAAGAGAAGAGTTATTTACACAGGTGCTCACTCTGAAATTTTCAGTCCTGGAAATTCTGCCTGGAGAGAATAGATAACAACTGTAAGAGAAAGCCTGGAGTGATCTTGAAAGGCTTCCATTTTATAAAAGTTTTGAATTTATTTCTCTTTTGTTTAGAACTTTACAAGGAGCCTTGAAACTATTTCTTTTTCTTTTTTTCTTTTGCTGGTGTCAGTGTTTACTTCTTTTTGCTGTGAAGTTGGGTCCCGTATCTGGTTGTTTTCAATTTTTTTTTTCCAATTTGATTATGGAATAGAAAAGATTTGTATTCTCTTTATGTTTTTTTTCTTTTTCCTTCTCACATTTTTTATAGTACCCACTGTCTCCATTTTGCCTTCTTGTTTTACTCTTGGCTTTTTTCCCACAGAATCTTCTTCCCTCTTTTTTTGGCCTTTTTCTTTTCTTTTTCTCTTACCTTTTCACTTTTTTTAACCTTGGACCACCCCATGGTCATTTTGGATTATAATTGACCTTTTTCTTTCCTTTTTTCTTTTTTTTAACCTTTGATCACCTCATGGTCACTCTGAATTACAATTGATTTTTTATAACAAGTGGATCATAATACAGAAAAATTTGAAGATGAGTAAAAGAAAAATAACCACTGGCTCTGCAACAACAACACCCTCCTCCTCCTCCTCACCAGCAGGAGGACAAAGATCAATACAGACAATGTTGCAACAGGAAAAAGAAAAGGGGAAGAAGGCAGTTACCTTAGAGATGATTNAAAAGAGAACAGAAAACATGGAAAAAAGAATTGAGACAATAGAACAACGAATGGGAAACATTGAACAATGAATGGAGAACATGGAACAAAAAGCAGTTAAAACTGATGAAAAAATTGATAGTATTCAACAAATGGTGATGAAATATGAAGATAGACTACAAAAAATGAAGAAAAAGGTGACCAAAGAGAGACGAAAATTGGGGAGATTGATAATAGACTGAGTGTGGTCGAAAAAGATAATATTGGAATACTGAATTGGGAGAAGGAAAGGTCAGAATTTTTTCTAAGATTCCAAAACAGAAGAAGAAAAAGGTGAAAACCTGTTACAAATAATGATAGCAATTTTGACAAATGTCCTCGAGTTAACCCAAGAGAAGATGGCCGATGCTATAGATGAAGCATTTTGAGTTTTTACATGATATGCAGTGAGAAATGAATTGCCAAGG